TGGCTACTAGCCACAAGGTATAGATAGGAACTCACAGGCTGGGGCAGGGGTGTCTTCTTGGTGCTTGGGGGGGGGGGGGGCAACAGGGGGAGGGCTTATAATGTCCTGGCCCCACTGCTGGGCCTCCTGATGGCACCTGGTATTTTTGGCCACTGTGTAACAGAGTGTTGGACTGGATGGGCCTTTGGCCTGATCCAACATTGGCTTCTCTTATGTTCTTAAAGGAATTTGTAAGCACCTCCTCCTCCATCATCATCATCATCATCGTTATTATTTACAGTCCCTTTTTAAACACATTCTCCCCTCCCTCTCTCTCTCTCAACAGCTCATCGGATAGACACAGATGGCTAATTTGGCGGCGAAGCAGGGAAGATGCCAGGTTCTGTGCCGGGGTCGACAGAAACCGTGCCATCCTTCCTCCCCGGATTCAGCACATCTTCAGGGCCGCTGGAGACACCTCTTATTTTATGATCTGTACAGAAAGGCTGGGGTTTTTTACACCAATTACGTTAACGGGACAAATGAGATGAAGTGACTTTTGATGAGAGCAAAACCCGGGTGCTGCTGGGCCGATGCCACCAGCACGTGACAGCTTCCTGTCTTGCCCCAGGTCCGTGGGGAGGGGGATGGAGTGCGGGGGTGAACCCCTCCCCCCCATGCCCAGGACCGTATTATCTTCAGCCAGGGGGACTTTGGGGGAGGAGGCTATCAGTTGAGATGGAAATAAGAGTTGTTACTTTCAGAGAATAGGGTTACTTCAAACAAAGAATACGGTGGGTTAAAGGAATTACCCGCCTTGGCCCACCACCTGTCTGTCCCCCTGCTCCTGGAGGGGCAAACCTGTGTATCCTCAGCGAGGCAAAGACTGTGTAGTGTTCACATCTCTTCTGAAATCAAAACACAGCTTCTACTGCTCTCCTGTCCTGGCCACACTCTTAGTTGGGAGTGGAGGGGACATGCTCAGTAAGAACAGCACCCCCGTCAGATTGCCCGTGGTCCCAGAGGCCTTTTGAAAGAACAGCCCTTCCTTGGATTACAGTAGCCACACGTGTGTTCTTCCTGATTGTCAAGCTAGGAAAAGGGTGGGTGGAGTGGCAACGGGGAGGCCAAATGGCTGCAAAACAAGTGTGCCAAATACGAGCAAACCTCTGCACAATAGGGCCACCACCCCTTCTGATGCTGTGGTGTGTTGTGTGTGCTAATTGCTCCTCTGGGCAGGAGGCTGCTGTTGTGCCACCTAAAGCAGCTGCCCCACCTGTTTCTGCAGCCTCCGTGCAAGAGGAATGGTGGCGAAGGCTGCTGGCATACAAGACTTGCTCTTGGTCCCTCCTCAGAGCACCTGCTTTTACTTTTACACAAGCTTCCCGAAAGCAGGTGCATCTAAACCAAAATGAGCACTGTAGCAACTGGTAATCCTTGAACGAGATGCGCTCATGGTATACTTCTCCACCCTGCTGTTCTTCCGTGTCCTTACCAGTCTCTCTTTCGTGGGCCGACATTCTTGACCCCTCAATAAGCCATAGCCTTTACCCTGAGCAAAACAATAGGAGATTCCAAAGAATCTTAGACGTGGCCTGCCACCCTCCTGCTTTTTTCATCCTGAGAATCACGATTATTTGACAAATAGCTTCATCTCCTCTGTAGCCAGCTCCAACTGCTCTTCCCTTCGTTTCTGTTTAACTACCTGTTGTGCAGTGAAAATTCCCGTTCCCCACGGGGTTCCCGGTTCTACAGGTGGATTTTCCCAATATCCATTAAAGCTGTTGGGAGAAGAAATACTTTGCATGGCCATAGTAATCCCCCTGGGAAAGCAGCGGGGGCAGCAGATGGGCAACGTTTTTAATCCGACTCCAGGCTTGGAAAGGGGGTTTCTGAGGGACTCCACGCAAAGCACAAGAAGGCACGAGGGCCTCTTGCTTGGTGGTTTATTCTGGGACATACATCTCTGCAATGACAGTCTTCCCTCCCTTCTCCCCCTTCTGCGACTGGGAACTTTGCAAAGCGCATGACGTGCTGCTGAGGGCGGAGCCTCTGGTTTCTACTGTAACAAATAAGGACAATAAAATTGACCCACTTTGTGGTAGAGCCGTGAGTGAATCTCTGGTTGGAATGCACTTGGCAGACATCGGTTGTGACTTCTGCCAAAGGGGGAAGGAAGGGGGAGGGGGGGGATATACAATTGCCTGAGCGGGACAAGGAGCCAAATGCAAGTCTTCATATCCAGGTAGGACGGCTTAATCTGCTGCTTTGGGGAGATGGGACAGAACTGTTCTAGTGGGGCATGTGCGTGTTTGCTTGAATTTCACTAGAAGACAAGGGAAAACAGGGTAGGGTCTGGTGACGAGGTGCTGTCTGGGTTCCCTAGCCCATCCACTCGCTCCACTTGTTCCCTGGTGTTGATGATTCTACTAGCAAAGGCATAACTGAAACCAGCAACAGGGTTTTTTGATGTTCTTTAGCACGTCACATGAAGCTGCTTTACACTGTAGCTGAAATTGGTCCATTAAGGCCAGTATTGTCTGCTCAGACTGATAGGGGCTCTCCAGGGTCTCAGGCAGAGGTCTTTCACATCACCTGCTGCCAGATCCTTTCCACTGGAGATGCCAGGGATTGAACCTGGGACCTTCTGCATGCCAAGCAGATGCTCTCCCACAGAGCCTCCCCATCCCAGTGTGGTGTACTGGTTAAGAGCAGTGGACTCTAATCTGGAGAACCAGGTTTGATTCCTCACTCCTCCACATGAAGCTTGCTGGGTGGCCTTGGGCCAGTCACAGTTCACTTAGAACTCTCTCAGCCCCACCTACCTCACACAAGGTATTTCTTGGTGGTCTCCCATCCAAATACTAACCAGGGCAGAGCCTGCTTATCTTCCAAGATCATACAAGATCAGGCTAGCCTGAGCTATTCAGGTCAGGACAATTGCTTCTTATTCCTGCATATGAGGTAGTAGTTTAAGAAGTTCATATTTCTCATTTCATATAGTCTGATGTAAAGCTTAAACACAAAGAAACCCAACTCTCTTGTGCAGATGGCTGGTTCATAAGATGACAATACTTTCTGTATTACCTTTGATACCTTGATTTGTAACTTAAGGTTCACTGAGGTCGCTTTGGAGATACTACTTCAGGCTTTGTCGAACCTCAAACCAATTTTGACACACGTTTTGTGGATGAGAGGTGTCATGGTGCATGAAAGAGGACCCTCAGGAGGGTGGTAACGGTTGGCCATTTTGGAAAGTGGCACCCACAGACTTCTTCCTAAGTGTTATTTTGGTTCCAAACAAGAAGGCATTTCCTGTAGAGTCCTATTACAAGCACTGTGTTCTTATGCTCAAGCAGGGATGTGAAGCTGCTGCTCCCCGATCAATGTCCCAACTGCTGCTCACGATGCTGGGCAACTCTTCCACACTGATGTACAGTCAAGGCACAGTTTCTACAGAAATGATAAAGCTTATTAGCGGCAAGAGCATATGACTCCTTTGACGAGGGTCAAGTTCTCAAGGCAAGTTCAGGGCTTCAGTAGCCTGCAAGGAAACGCAGGCGATGAATGAGGAGTGCAGATCTAATGGTTGTACTAAGATTAAAGTGCAGACCTTGGGATCTTTTATGAAGGACCGGAACTAAATAGATTCGAGTCCACAAGCCCCTTAGACACCAACCAGAGTTTCAACATGTAAGTTTTTGAGAACCAAATCTCCCTACAGACCAACGTGCCTACCCTCTGAAACTAGGAACTAAATGGGAACCAGTATTGGAATCATTATGCCCTCTACTTTTCTCTCTTCTCCCCCCCCCCTTCCCCATTAACACAGCTAGGTGTCAGAACCCACAGCCAACAACGGAGCACACACTTCTTGGAAAGGTTATATTTTTATTGAAGAGCCATAGATGCATTAACACAGTCACTGTTAAGAATAGCAGTTGTCTCTCGAACCTAATGAGATATAGGGCATTTGTATGCCCCCCCCCCCCCCCCACCCCCACTGCGCTGGCCAATTTGGCACCCTCTCGCACACGGGCTAAAGCCAGCAAACTGTTACTATGCGAAGCTGGGAATTGTTCCGCTCCCACGGCTTGCCTGGAAGGCAGACAACCCCCCCACACACCTGTACTTCTTTAGAGATAAGCATTTCAGCGCAAAGCAGAGAGAGGAATGCAAAGCAATTTTCACAGACACTGAAAGAACATCCCAACCCCCATGGCAGCATAGCTGACATAAGGCCAGGATGACCCTTCTTTTCCAGGAGGACTCCTGTGCCTTCCTCAGTAGCATTTGGGGGGGGGGGAGAGTACACACCTAGAGTTTAAAGGAGCAGGAGTAGCTTTGCCCTGAA